CCCCCCCCCCCCCCCCCCCCCACGGATCAAATACAACTTCTAAAACTTCTCTTATCTACTTGGCTGCTGATAAACTTTGAAGTGCCTTAGACAACCAGGCTCTTTGATGTTTACCTATATAGGGCTATTAATATAAAAAGACAAACAGGGAAGGGCTTGTTATCTGCTTCTGTGCCAGTGACTGACAGTAACGGTTCCCTACAATACTTCTTTTATTCTCTCTGACTGAGCAGCTCACTCACCTGAGGCACTGTACAGTCTTCTAACCTGCAAGCAGAAACCCATGAACACAGATGATGCAGCTACTGAATGTCCTGGTAGTAATTTCCTTGGCTGAACCTGAAGTAAACTTCATGTTCTGGCCTAAACATGTGGAAAATGGCCCCTTGCTCATGATAAAGAGACTTTTTTCATTTATGTGAAGCTGACTTTGTGGGATTCTGCTACTTTCCAGTTCTCTCCTTTTAATGAACACTTTCATTTAACCTCAAAGTTTTTTTGTCTCTTCTCTTCCTGCACACTTGTTTTTTCTCTTTCTCCTCCACCCTTCTCTTGTCTCGTCTTGTCGTCTCCATTCGTTCTTGATTTCCGTCTGCCTCGCCCCACTCTCTCTCTCTCTCCCTCCCTCCTGTCTGTCCATCCTTCCCTCCCGGCTGCGCTGTGGCAACAGTCGGTTATGGGGTTGGGGTGTCGACGGACTCTCAAAGCATCCCCCTGCCCCTCCTCCTCCTCCTCCGCCCCACTCCACCCCTGCTGCCCCCTCCCTAAGGGTCCTCCGCAGAGCGTATTCACCCAGGTAACGAGGCAGGCTGCGAAACAAGGGCGATTATTCCCGCAAGGAACCCTGATCCTCTTTCTTATCCAAATTTCCTTTGTCAAAAACACAGTTGAGCGAATCTCTCCGTTTTATTACATACTGTATATTTTCTAAACAAATAAAAATGTCATTTCACATTGCTTCTAAGATGTGGTTAATGCTGTGGTGTGCACAATAATAGACAATAAAACAAAGGTTTATTAACACCTGACCTTTCCCTTTCTAAAGACTAATCAGCTTCTAAGTCCAAAGCAGCGCTAAAGCACTGTGCATGGTGGCAAAACAACTGCATGCTTGTGCATCTTCTTCAGATATGCATTTCATATAAATCCCGTGTGTATTCCTTTCTGTGTTTGCGTGTCCGGTAGCATGATGGAGTACGACACCGAGAACATGAACTCGGAGGAGATCTACAGCTCGCTGCGCGGCGTCACCGAGGCCATCCAGAGCTTCAGCTACCGGAGCCAGGAGGACCTGAACGAGCCAATCAGACAGGAGGGCAAGAGGGACGACGCCGTAAGTCAGAGAGTTTTCACAGCCGCGCTTTCCCCAGTATTCCTGCCTGAAAAATTACCTTTTTATGCCTTTATCCAACATGTTGAAATCAGTCTGTTGCAATTTGCATGAAACACGTAAACTTGATTAAATGTAATTTAAATGTAATAATTAATATTAAATGCGTAAACTTGATTGCTGCCGTTCATACTCAGCGTTAAGAGATCCCTTCTATATTGCATCCACAGTCCACACACATTCCACAGTGCAGTCCAAAAGTGTATTCCAAAGTTTTTCTGAGGCTAACATGAGGCTTTTTCCGTGTGAGCTGATCATATGGTGTGCATCTGTTAATTTCATTCACAAAAACTATGATTAAATATGTTCATAAAGCACTCTTTTTTTTTTTTTGCCATGACTAAGACGAGACGATGACGAGATGGCACCGACATCATTAAACACTAACTGTGACTTCATCAACATCAAGACTAAAATGTAGCTACAAAAATAGAATAAAAACTTTCCAAAATCTCTCAGCATTTCCTTTTCCTGTATTCCACCTTCCAGTTCTGTTTCCTGCCCTATCAGGACAGCACACAGTGAGTACAGTCAGGAGGACTCGCTAACGTTTAGTTAATAATGACAACAGTAGGTTCATTGACTAAAACTAATATTTAACTAAGATAAGACTAAATTGCTGCAGTTACTACTGTAAGACAAAACGAGGAGTTTCAAGTGAGGATAGCAGGAAGCAGGTATGAGAGAGGCAGAGACGTTTCTCAGAGGTCGGCTGTTGCAGGACGGGTCTCCTCTGTAGCGCAGAGCCCCTTGATGTAATGGCAAATGAAATGATTTCAAAAGCTGCAGGTGCTCCCAGGGAAAAACAATGATCAGAATCCTATTATTGTCCCACCTACTACCCTTCTGTCTCACAGGCAGGAAGAGAGGGCGTAGCATCCTCTCCTGGCTCTGACGCCCGCCTCGGTCTAGACACGGTGGAAGGGGGCCGCAACGCCTTGGACAACAAGACCTCCCTACTCAACACGCCATCGCCCCGCTCCTTCTCTGGGCCGCGGGGCCGGGAGTTCGCTCCTTATGGCTACGGAGAAACCATCTGCACATACGACAAGACCGCCCTGAAGGAGGCCGTGTTTGACGACGACGTGGAGCAGTTCAGAGACTGTGAGTTCATGAGATCATGAAGCTGAGATGTTCTTTGTTACACCAGGGGGAGGGGCTTATCACAGCAGGCCGACATCATACATCACAAGGCACTGTACTGTACATATACATACTGTACACATACATACTGTACATATACATACTGTACTGTGCATATACATACTGTATATACATGCTGTACACATACATGCTGTACACATACACACTGTACTGAACATATGGTATAAAGCACATACACTTTTAGAGCTCTGTTGTTGGGGTCGCCCCGGTAACTCACCATGTAACTGAGTCGTTACCACAAAGGTTTGACACCAACCCTCTCCCATTGGAACAGGATACTGCTTGTGTTGTACCATGAACACTATTGGACGTGTCACTTACACGCGGTTCACCTCTCAAACATGCACAAAATGTGCTGAAACACAATCAAAGACATTCCTCTCAGAACTCTTTTGTTTACTTTATTTTATGTTTGTTTGCACACAAGTAACAATGCATAAAGTGCTGACAATGGAAAAAATAGGAGATGTGTCAGGAGAGCTCAAAAAGTGTGACTCCTGGCTCGTAGCAGCTGCACTACAAAATGTCTTCACAAACCACACTAAATGTGTTATGACATTCTCCCATACACCACTGAGGTGCTCAGATACCAAGCTCATGTGTTTTGTTCTCATTAGCATTCTTTAGTTCACTGACTCACAGTTTGTTCTTCCCACTGAGGGCCTCATTGTTTAATACCTTTAAGCTTTTCTATTTTGATGAAACTGTCCTGTTTTTGCTGCTCTGATCAAAGAGGTGAATAGATTGTCACAGGGTTGAGGAGGAGTTTTGTGCGACTAGTGCATCTGTGAAAAGAATCATAAGAGCACAAGCCGGCAGCTGTGCTCCCCCCCCCCCCAATTGTGTCATGTGTCATGTCTGACAACGTAGAGGAGGCGAGGTTGCTGCTGTTAAGTGATGTAGAGACCTGACACAGGATATGACCTCAACCATAAGTGTGGCTTCATTATGTGTAGTCAGTTTTGACTTTTCGCTCGGTTCCTGAGGAGCTGTGGTCTGTGGGTTGTCATCACATCCTTTGCTCTGCACCTAACCTCCCCCCACCCCTCTGTCCCTCATCTCCCCACCTCCACCTTCATCCCTCCTCCACCCCCCTCTTCTCCAGGTCGCCGTCAGGAAAGTGCCGAAAACAAGATGACGCTCCCCAAGGTCTTTGCTCCCGGTAAACATGCCTCCCACCGCCTGACTGACAGACTTGATGACTGATTCACTGACTGCACCCCTCACTCCATTCACCCTCTGTGTGTGTTTGCATTATCTAATCAGCTCTCTCCACTCCCATCACCGTTTCTTTCCGTGGTCTTCTAACTTCTTTCTAACTCTAACCTGTGTTCACTGAGTGCAACCTGTCCTGCTGCCAGTGCCGAGCTTGAGGCTTTTAGTAATGTCTGTAGCATTCTCTGTGAGGAAGTGAATGTTTGGGTGGTTTGTTCTCCTTTAGAGTTCCAGAGTATGGCAATAACGAATAACATGTTCTCAACAGTTGAATATCTAGTAACAATACATGATAACAGCTTCATCACACTAACATGTATGACATGTCAGTTACATTTTGTCCCGACACGGACAACCATGGTCAAATAAAATGAAGAACATCACGTTAGAATTAGGTTGCACGACCATCCTTTCACTGTCCATGCAAACGTCAAAATCTATAAACAGCATCCAAATTCATTTCTAAAATGTAACGTTGACGTCCCATGATGCCGTGACTGGAGGCCTTCATTGCACACTGTTAACTCCGCCGTGCATTCAGAGGTGTATCCCTCACACACAATGCACAACCTTGTTTTCAGTCTGAAAAGTGCAATTTTTTGCAGTTTTTTAAAATACATTTGTTTTACAATCCATTTTGAAATGATGAGCGATTACTTTACGAGTTCATTTATTTGCATTGGACACCAGTCAAAGTTTCTCTCAGCATTGACTGAGTTCCTTCTACTGGTCTGATAGGATTAAAGACTGATGCATGATCAAATGTCTGATGGATGACTCCAAGATTTATTTTTTCTTTTGGTGCTCGTGCAAGATGTGAGTAGCTGTAATTTCCATGTACAATTTGATATGTAACGTATCACTCTCATCCTGTCCTGGCTAGCAATCAGTCACGACCACTCGGACCTGGTAGCCGACCTGCTTAAGGAACTGTCCAATCACAACGAGCGTTCCGAGGAGCGTAAAGGCGCCCTGGTGGAGCTGCTAAAGATCACACGGGAGGACAGCCTGGCTGTGTGGGACGAACACTTCAAAACCATCCTCCTGCTCCTGCTGGAGACGCTGGGTGATAAAGATGTACGCTGTTTCATGGCTCTGTGTGTCTGAGTGTGTGCGCTGCTGAACTGAATAGTGTGAATGTTTGTGTGGGGAGGATATTGATTCCCTCTGAGCTTAACAGGCACAGGTGGGAATCACACTGATAATCTCAAGACTTTGAGTGAATGTATGCATGTGTGGATATGTAACAAGGGTATTTCTGCTTTGAACCGATTGCCCATGTCACTGTGTCCCCCAGCACACCATCCGAGCCCTGGCCCTGCGTCTGCTGAAAGAGATTCTGAGGAACCAGCCGGCCCGCTTCAAAAACTATGCTGAGCTAACCATCATGAAGACCCTGGAGGCTCACAAAGACTCTCACAAGGAGGTACACGGCACATACAAATGGGAAAATACACCACATTACAGTACTTTCAAAATGCAATCATTGTGTTTTTCTGTTTCACTTGGGGGAAACTCATTCATATATTATGCACATCACGTGTAAGCAAACTGTTGCCTATTCATACATCCAGCAGACACATTTATGTGGAGTCATGTTTGTGTCAACCTGATGGACTCTCCTCTTTAGATCTGTTTTGGTCTCCACCAACTCCTGAGATACTTTATCTATTGGTGATAACTCTCCACCACCACATGTGAACCTTTTCTCAGTAAGCACACATCATTTGATCCATCGTTAAAGGGATGCTTTGAATTTCTTTAGTCAGCGAAAGTAGATGGAGTTTGGAGTCTGGATGTTCTTTTTTTAATGAAGAAATACTCCCCAGGTCTTAAAGAGTTGATGCTATTGCAGCATCTATGCTAACCTCTTTGATCAGTCGCCGCTCCGTGTTGTCACACACGCACACACACACACACCTAAGCCACGCCCTTAGCTGCCAATAGCTCCTCACAGGAAGCTGATTGGTCCGTGCTCTGGATTACTGAACACAAACTCATTACTTGGAGCCTAAAAGATGGATTTTCGTGTGATATGTGATCCTGTGACCTCTCGATAAATCCAGTTTATTGCTGCCTGTGATCATGAACTCAGGAACACTAAGGAGAGACCTTGGCACTTACTCAGGATAACCCAACAATGGTCCTACCAGGAGGGTCAGCGGGTACAGACCGTGGCTAAACAAAGACCAAATGCTGATAACAAATACAAAATGCTTCTTTGCTTGAAGGCTTCCAGAGCAAGCTTTTGGGTTTTCTGCCGGTCTGATGAATATGTGTGTATTATGGTCTATAATTATGGGTGCAGACAACTTTATATATTCTCTATATATTTTCCTTTGACAATTTTTAAAGGGCCGTTGTAGGTAAAAAAAAAAGAAGCAATTATTAGGATAATCTCAGAAAGCCCTCATAATTTTGGAGATTAAAGTCATAAATTTGAGAGAGAAAAACTTTAGTCTTAATATATTATTATAATTTTTTTACCTTCAATGCTCCTAATATGCTGTCGTATTTTCCAGCAGAGACTTTAGATATTTAAGTCCTGTAAAAGCCTTGAACAAGGAAACATCTGTGATGGAAGATGCCCTCTTGTTCATCCCTTTAAGGCACCAGCTGGTGCACTTAAACTGATTAAAGTTGATAAACTGATCATTGTTTTTTCCCACATTATGTCACTGATCTTAACATGCACGCGTTCATGTGTTCTCTAGGTGGTGCGTGCGGCCGAGGAGGCGGCGTCCACCCTGGCCGGCTCCATCCACCCTGAGCAGTGCATCAAGGTGCTGTGTCCTATCGTGCAGACAGCCGACTACCCCATCAACCTGGCTGCCATCAAGATGCAAACCAAAGTCATTGAACGCATCGCCAAGGACTCCTTACTGCAGCTGCTGCCTGACATCATCCCAGGACTCCTACAGGTCTGGGGCTGAAACATTACACAGCAGGAGTTTTATGGTTTATGGTTCAGATTAGATTTAATTCCTTTAACTGCTTGTTTTTTCAGACTGGACACTCACAAACAAGCAAACACGCTTTTAATCATTATTTGCTCGACAACAGTGTTAAATGCTTGTCCTAATTGATATGGGTTAAATAACACACGAGCTCTTTGTGGACAGGCCGAGCACAAACATCCTTGTCAGCTCCAAAAGGGCTTATTTGGACAATGTTCATATTTGGAGTTTTTGGAATTATTTGCCTTATTTGTCCCTGGAAATGTTTGCGTGTACTCTGCACTCTTCTGCGACTCCTCCCACGTTCCTGCTGAGCCCTCGTGTGTGCGTGTTTGTGTGTGTGTGCACGTGTGTGTGTGGTGCCTGATGCTGTCTGGTTTGTCTGCAGGGCTATGACAACACAGAGAGCAGCGTTCGCAAGGCCAGCGTGTTCTGTTTGGTGGCTATCTACTCTGTGATTGGTGAGGATCTCAAGCCCCACCTGGCACTGCTCACGGGCAGCAAGGTAATGACTGTGGATTTCTCTGCATGTCCACGATCTCACACACACACACACACACACACACACTTTTTTTTTTACCAAAACCTCTTCTACAGACGCGGAGCCTTATCATCTTCCCATGTTGTTATTTCTCAGCAGGTTTCAACCGGTTCTCCAATTGTAAAGCGCGCTGTTATATACTGTGTATATATATATATACTGTATATATATATATATATATATATATATATATATATTTGCTCTACTGTCCTTGGGTTATGTAAGGGTTAAGCTGAGGGTCAGGTTCACCTGAATGGAGGGATCCTCCACTTTGAACTGTTGCACAGCTGGTTATCTGAAAGTAGCCTGGTACATACAGTATCGACTGAGTAAGCCCCGTCACATTCTCACCTTGTACTTTGCAGTGGAGTCTTTTAGGTCCAGGTAGGATGGAAAAGCAAATTCATATTGAGTGGAATGTACTTGTTCAAGACTCACAAATGTACCAAAACAATGGTGCCAATATCACATGAAGCATTTGTTTTGATTGAATGAAGGACAAAGTCTGAGTTTTGTGTGTTTGAAAGCGTGCAGTGTAATAAAAAAGATTATGTCCTCGTCATTTTGTCGGAAGATGTCTGATATCACAATATCTTCTTTCCTTTCATAAGACATGCTCCTGTGTTTTTCTAGCCTATGGAAAGGTTTCACAACATTTCTATTTGCAAAGACCACGATACAAGTACAAGTCCATTTACCATCTCAGAACGCATCGGTCTGACGACAGAGAAGCCTTCGGGGGGGCAAGCTTCTATATTTCTGGTGAAACTCGCAGATATCTGGGACACAACTTCCTTCGCTCCATTTAGCAACTTGAGATACAAAACTGGAGTTTAGAGATGACGTCCACGACCGAATTGTTTCACAAGTAACCAGTTTACGAGCTCACTTTAAACCAATAGAAAGCCCGATCACTGTCAGACGACAGCTGCTGGGTTTACAGACTACACTCCAGCTCTCCTCACGGACTGTTTACCAGCATTCAGCTAACCAGCTCCAATGGGATTAGTTAATACGACTCGCACTACAAACCAGAAACCTGAACCCTTCAGATACCAAAATCAATATCCTTTGTTCTGTTTGTAGATATTAACCGGCGGGAGGCAGCAATGCACTTCCCGTGCCTAGTCTGCTGGAAATCATTAGAAGAAGAAGAAATGAAAACAATACAGACGGGGTCTATTCTTTGTTCCAAGCAACCAACATCAGCCAAGATGTTTGGCAGACTCATCATATTTCTCTTTGAGCTCAGATTCTGTTAATATGAGTACATACTTACTAAATTGTGCAGGAATAACATGCCCGTATTTAATGTACGTCATTAGTTCCCAAACAGTCTTGAGACACTTAGAAGCAGCATGTCTACTTGCAAACCCTCATCACAAGAAGCATCTGTTTCCTGTTTTATTTGAACAGTTCTGAAAAGGTAAATCTAGCCAGTCATGCTCAAGGGGAACAAAGATACGTTTTAGTAAACGTACATTGTGGTGAGGAGTTGCTCCGAGTGTTTACTTAGCGTTTGGTTTAGCGGCTGCTGGCTGCAGCGTTCTCCATCAATACTGGAACAATTGCTGTCACCGTTTGTCACTTAGACACAAAACGTTCTCCTTCAAGGCCTGAAAGGGAAGTCACATGGCATTCTCCTCAACATAAATGGTGTCTGTTGTCTTTGCTGCTTTGCAGATGAAGTTACTGAACCTGTACATCAAGCGAGCCCAGACGACCAACAGCAATAGCAGCAGTTCCTCGGACGTCTCCTCCCACAGTTAATGGAGGGAGGTTTCATTTGGAGACCCTGTGGATGGACGAAGCTGGAAGATCTCCGGGGCTTCTTTCAGACTGCTCCGTCTCCGAGCTCCCCTCCTCCTCCTCCTCCTCCTCCTCCTCCTCCTAGCTCAAGCTCCACTGCGCTTCTCCCATTTGGAGGAGATCCTGTCAGCAACCTATTTATCATGTAGTTCCCCCTCCCCCCACCTTTGCTCTAGGAACCTTTTGAATGTAACCGTGGTTTGGGTTTGGACTGGTGGGGAGGGAATCAACACATTTGGAGTTTTTGGATGTAGGAAAAGCACTTTCTCTTCCTCCACGGTTCCCACAACCTCCACACCGCCGTCTGTGTACGGAAGCCCGTTTCTCCTTGAGCCCTCACATTTGGTAGATTGAGTTCAGACGTGATGCCGAGAAATATTGGTGATCAGAGTGGAGAGGTTTCTGTCGGATCGACTACAGTTTGCGATGACATGTCATTTGGCTGGCCCAGTGATGGTGATGAGCCCATATGTTGTGGGATCATTTCTGGTTTGGGGAGCATGAAAACCAAATATTGTAAGAAAAAAAGAAATATGTAAGGGAGCAATGTCAGAGAAAGAAATCATTTTTAGTTCATATTTTAAGTTTATTGATCATGATCGTGGCCTGTCCATCGATTGTAGTTTTTTTATGCTAATTTGTAATTAAAAGTGGCTCAACAATTGAATCCCCCTTTAACAGAAACCTTGTGACACTCGACAAGTTGCCAAAACCTTTCAGCTACAGAATTGACAATCCTCCAAATTTAGTGCAGAACTTTATCTTGAGGTTCGGAAGATGAAAGTTTGTGTGAATGCTCATTCATTTGTCCTGAAAAACACAATCAGCAGACGTTTGTGTTGCCTGTGTTTTCTCACAGAACATTCTGCATTAAGTTAGAAAACGGCTTGTTGTCCAACATGCTTTGACAAACGGTTGCCTGCCGGTCGCCGGTCTGTGGCAACTCCTGCTCAGTGGAGAGGCTCTGTTTGAAGAGGAAGTCCTTTGTAAATAGCGGCAGATGTTTTCCCAGCTTAGAGTCGGGAGAGAGACGAGCAATCGGAGACATTACCAGACCTTATCCACTTCAACACATCATTCTAGTTGACCGGGACCTCGGAGAGTGAGCGGGACGTTCAGCACTGTAACCCTCCGACAAATGTCAATGTCGATCTGCAGGAGAAGGACCCCGGCAGTGTTCTTGACCTGCGACGATGCAAACACAGTGTTAAGGGTCTCCTTCAGTTCCCCGTCACGTAACCCGTGAGATCCACAAAGAAAAGGTGTTTTGTACATACACGTTTTGACCACTGCTTCGCAGACTTTTAAATAATGTCAGTAAAAAAAATAAGAGAGAGAGAAGTGAACGGGTTGACGATCTCACTTTTTTTGCACGACGGCAAAAATAGCTTGCATGTAACCTGCAGCACATCCCGACCTGCTGTTTTGAAGGGCCCAGGCTGTTAAAGTGCACTTGTGACATCATCAGAGTACTGATCTCTGATTTATTGGTTCAGTAGAGGAGGAAGTCCCATTGGCCACACTCGTATGACCAAAATGTGTTTGGCTTATTTAAGTATCCACAAACCCTACATTTGTGATTATTTTATTTCAGTGTTAGGTTTGAGGTGTGGAGAAGCTTTCAACGAGATCTCTCTGTAAGTTGAAGCTAGTTTGCCCCGGAGAGATCCGAGTCCAGAGATCCCTGACTGGGAACCTTCACCCATCTGATCAGAGTTGTTGTTACTGGATATGATTTGGTTCATCATTGTACAGGAAGGGACCAGACTCGTTATGCCTTTAAATATTGAGATGATATTAAATGCAAGTGTTCCTGATGTCACTTGGGGACAGTCGGGGACTGTTTTAGTTGAGTGGTGTTTTCATTCAGGGAATCCACTGAGAGTGGGCCAATTGTGGTTATTTAAGTAAATGAATGTACAGACTTATTACGTGTTATGATTAGCTTTTTAAGCATTGGTACTGAAAATGATGTTCGGCAACACACAGCCCTGTAACATGTCTGCACTCTACCTTACCGCTCTGTCTGCTGAATCCCCTCAACAGGTCCGCAGCATTAATCAGCCTAGTAATAATAAAGTTCACCAATCGGCCCACTGGCACATGCTATCACACTGCTGGTCCTCACAGACCACATGGTTCTCCTTGCAAACACTATGCATGTTCTACAGTACCCTGTCTTCTTTGTTTCAAGCGGTCATGTAATATTCATACCTGTATTTATATATTTTATTTTGTCCTGTACAGAAGGGTTTTTGTTGTTGCTATTGACTTCTACCTGTGATAGGTTTGCAACAATGTAAAGAAATTGTTTGCTCTAGAAATAAACAGACTAAGAACTGAACTGAATGTCTTTTGGTTATTGATCCCAGATTTGAAATCTGCCAACAAGCAGTTTGATTCATAAGCCGGTCAAAGCTGGCGGGTCTGCAGGTCGAAGCTCGTTGCCAGTCGTCTATCCACTTACGAGCACACACGCGTCCCAACGCTGAGGTGTGCTTAGCTGCTCTGCATTTAAACATTAACCTGAGCAGACTGTCACATGACCTGCTCCTAATCTCTGGGACGTCCGAGGAGCTCAGAAGAGACCGGAAAGCAGCTGCAGGGGTTTGTATTCAAACCAAACATGCATGATGGGATCAAATTGTGCCAGCCATGTGTTTCACTTAGCAGTCCCTCTATCACCACCATTAGTCAGTCATAGCCTTCTTAGAAACATCACAAGTATCACAGTGCTCTTCCTCGGCTGTTCTCAGACCTGTAATCACAGGAGATAATTACCTTTACTTTCATTCATTTCAAGGCCCGTGCCCTTCTTTATTCCCCAAAAGCTGAGGGGTGTTTCTTTACCATTTTTTCAAAATACACCTCCAAATATCATTACCCTAAGTGAGCTTTAGGGCCACACTGTCGGCAGTGTCAACAAGCGGTCAGGTGAAAGCTGCTATTAATGCATCAACCCGGCGAAGCATTGGTGGTGGGAGGTGTGCCTGAGCTCTCCGCCTCTCAAAGGTCATCCGAGGTATGCTGAAAAAGAACAAGTGAGAGTCCTGATGACATCACCGGGCCAATATAAGAGGCAGACGACGAGGTTTGCCTGCAAAACCTCTCTGAGCTGAGATTTGAGGAAGCCAGCAGGCCAAAGCTAGCACCGTCCGTCTCCACGTCCTCCCCCCCCTCGCGGTCCTGGGATACAAGAAGACATCGCACTGGAAAATATGCTGTTCTGCCATTCCCAGCCTGAGTCCTACCACCAGCACTCTGCTAGTTACATTAGGTAAAGCACAAGCCATGCTTCAACTTGTTCATTTCACTCTCGTGCAACTGGGGGAAAGTTCTGTGTACAACAGGTTAAATCAAAGCAGCAATGTTTACTTGCACAAGAATATATGGAGAGAAGTAGAAGTGCTCACGTGGCTTAAAGTTCATTTTTAAAATGTGCACATTTGCAGTAATTTTGCCTCATTTGAGTATTTTACTATTCACATTTAACTGCCATGTGAAATCAGAATTTTCAAATGCATTTCAATGGTTAATTTAAAGGAGTATTGTTTTCAAAATCCACATTTAGACAACAAATATAGATCGTAAGAACTACTTTTTTCTCTTTTTCAATCGTACACTTTCAGTGAATTGAGCTGGATAAGTAACGCTGTATTTTGTAACAGTAACCTTTTGCACCTTTGTTCCTATAATTCAATGATAAGATAAACAAGAGAAAGGACAGTCACCTTTATTACCTCATTCCTTCTGCTCTCTTTCAGAGAGGCCTTGGCACCTTTCTTGAAAAACGAAGAAGCCAGGCTCATGGCTGAGCACGGGTCCAAGAGGAGCCCGTTCCAGTACATTCTGTGTGCAGCCACCTCGCCGGCTGTGAAGCAGCAGGAGGAGAGTCTCACTTATCTCAATCAAGGTAGCTATCCGTCCTGCTAGCTGAATGTCCACGTTGACTGGAGCTCATTTGCCACATGTCGTCCCAGCAGCAGCAGCTAGATTAATGCTGATGCAGGATTTCAAACCCATTATCAGTCAGGGTCAGGCTGAATCCTGGTTAATTAGACCATGTTCACTTGAATTCATTTCAATTTACACCCCGAGTTTGGGACCCTGCAATTACAAAACACACACAAATACATATATATACAAACATATATATATATATATATATATATATATAATTCTTTATCACATCATTTTACACCCAGTTGTGAAATTTAATTATGGCTGCAAATAAAATTTCCATTAGAATAATCCACCGATTATTTTCTTGATTATTCATTTAGTCGATGATATATTAAGAACATGTTTATTAAAAATTGTTACACAATTTTTCACAGGCCATGTCTTCAATATACCTGTTTTGTCTAACCAACATTATAAACTTTAATATATATTTTATTTACTGTCATAGAATATTTGACATTTTTGCCTGTAAACTTATTATAAACTTATTATGATTTTGATATATTTTCAAAATAGTTTCAGATTTACTTTCTTTTAAATGTAGATTTAGTTTTATTTTCGCTTAATCAACCAATTGTTGCATATATCTAAATCTAACAACTACTGAATACTTAATATTGAAATCTGTAGCATTGAATTATTTTACTTTAAAATCCATCCATCTCAATTTATGTGGTTTGGGGATCCATGTTCCAAGTGGTGCAATTTTCGGCTCCACTCATTCAGAACGTTGCAGTGTCCGAGGCTTCTGCCCCCTCATCTGGACTTTTCTGTCTTGGGTCATGTGACTGAGAGGGCGTACACTGATTGGACAGATCCGTAGTTATTCTCGGCAGCGGTGATGTCTGTAATCAACTCACCCAATTTACAGCAACCTTTTCCTTATTTTTTTTATTTGACTGATTTGAATTTATGAACCCTTAAAACCTTGAAATTAAGTTTTTGAATTCCAAAATATATAAATTTCAAATCAGACGTATAGATTTGTAAGTAAAATTTCTAAATGCTATAAATTCAGAGGTATTTCAATTTGTGTTCAGTCATGGATAACTTTCACAATTAGTTATTCAGTTGCTTAACACATTTATAATATTTTGGTCTTATTTTGCTTCCATAGGTGTCTGTTTTCAGTAGACAGTTATTAATACACACACACACACATATAGGCGAGGCTGTATACTGTCAACACAATTACCGACATAAAAAAAAACATTTTAGTCTTTTGAATTAGTAACTTGACTGAAATCATGGTGGTAAGATTTAAAAGGCATATAACCACAACCTATTAATATTATGATTGAGTTATGTGTGCAACATGAGCTCCTATATGTGTTTTAACTCTCATCTAAACCTTTCTTTCTGTCTTATTGTCTTTCCTCCTTTCTAAATTGTACCTCCCTCTTCTTCTTCACATCATTCTGGAACCTTCTGATTGTTTCTGTCTCTAGTTGAACGCTGACATTTCTTATTTGTGCTTCATGTCCCTATATTTTAATGTCCCTATATCATAAGTTTGCCCTGCTCATCTGCTGTAACAGTAATTTGGTTGGAGAAAAAAGCACAATGAAAGTGAGCCTGCTGTAACATGCAACCATTTCACTGCCAGGTTAAGATGACATGCATTGATTAGAGGTTAATTGCCATCAGGGTCTGTAGCTTAGATTTGTCACTATGCTGAAAGGCATTGTTAGTCTTATAGTGTCCCTCTGTGGCTAATTTAATGATATTTTCTTGTAATTTTAAACTTCATATTTGATCAGGATGGAGATATGTAAGCGTTTCTAGTGGCTGGCCTTGATATCTGCCTTAAACGCCTTCTGAATTGATTCAGTTTCTGTCTCCACTGACCCTCTTTTCTGACTGATTTTCCCATTTTTCAATTTTAATCAGGTTTTTTTTAATGTTTTAAAATGTAGGTCAGTCCTACGAAATCCGTATGCTTAACAGAAAACTAGTGGAGTATACAGATATAAGCAGCAAATATGTGAAGGTAGGTGTAAGGCATTGTGTTTGTTTTTTTGACTTTACATGACCTCTTCCTCTTTCTTCCTCTATCTGTTTTCATGTATCCGTTTTCCTGGTTTGTCACAGGTCCCTCGACCCTGCCTTCCACTTCAGGGGTGGGGTGTGGACCTTGGAGAGCTTGGTACTATCACCCAAACTTACCTTTCCTCTCTCCTAGATGTCACACAAACCCCTTACAAACACACGTTATCACCACACACACTCTCTATGATTCGTCTCATCGTGCCTTTGTCTGCTTCACTGGGATTTCTTTCATAAAGACTGGCATCTGTACACGTACACATGATTTTGTGAAATATTATGTTTCTTTCATGGAAATTTAAAAAATAAAGCGGTGTATTCCGGATGCCATGGCTTTCTGAATAAAACCCCACTAGCAGCTCATCAGTTCAGTCATTTTCACACACACTGTTACTGACTGACAACATTTCAGATGGTCAAAAGTGACTCCATTCATTGCAAAGACGTTTGTCAACACACTCAAGAGTAAGGAGAGCTCATTTCTATTTCACTTTTGTGTGAGTGCATCCACTTGACATGTCTCTGTCGTCAGGCCTTCTGCCATTGCTTGAGACTGAAACGTTAAAAGAGCAGTAGCATCCTAGAAACACAAGAATGAGACAGGTGGCTTCTATGCAAACACATGGCGGGCTGGGTCCTGGGCCTTTTGAGTTCTGGTGCTCGGTCACGCATGATCCTCCCTCCATAATTATCCCAATGGTACATGATTGTACAGGTGGATCATTTAGTTTGTTGATTTATTTCATGTCCTGTGTCATGGCCCGACTCATAAGTCATGACAAAGGACGGGAGGGTTGAAACTTAAAGGTGTACAAGCTTACTAGCTAAACATACAATGACTTCAACTACATGCTGAGGTTATGAGGTGTGGTAATCAGTGTCATGGAGTAAAACCCAAACTAGGAACATGGCCAAATCCAACCAAACAAACATGGTGCCATAGGAATGGAGGAAGTAGAGAGACCATGGGCTGGGACAGACAGATCTCCTAGAGACTGGCCAGGTGCTTCCAGTTGCATTGATTGACTCCACCTACCAGGGCCAGACAGACAGACAGACAGACAGA